ATGTCAAGAAATAATCTCAGAACAGAGAGTCCATCATTATCTTTTGTCCCTGGTTATTGCTTAGTGTTTAGCACAGAATAGGTGATCAATACATGTAGGTTTGAAGGAAGAAAGGAATGAGAGGAAGGGTAAAATTGAACATTTAGGCTTCATTTAGTCAGATTATTCTTTTAGTCAACAACCAATTAAAACAGAAAGAGGAGGAAAAAAGAGCTGAGTCTACACACTAGGTCATTCATTACCGAGCCAGGGAGTGCCCAGGGGAAGGAAGGCACGGGGCGGGGGGTTGGGGAGTATACATCTGCACCCATCGAGGAGATCAAAATGTAACTGAAGAAACAGTAATAGTAATCACTCATTATTATTATATTATTATAGGCCCTGATTATAGCTTAAGCGGTGCTTTTGTACACATTTCCTGTTTCTCACAGACTCATGAAATAGAAAATAACACTATTAGTCAATATTTAATGAATTGCCTATAGGCCTTGGCACCGTGCTAGTTGACGGGGATATACTGGGAACAGAAATCAAACAAGGCCCCGCTTTCATGGACTATATAGCCCAGAGTCGACAGACTTCAACCAAATGACACAAATGAGAGAAATGCCAACCATAATGAGTATTGCAATGGATAGGTACAAAGGACTGCAAGCACCCATACTGGGGGTGCTCAGGAAAGACTTCCTTGGGGAGGTGTCTTAGGAGCTGAGCTCTAACGAGGAGTGGAGTCAGTAGGTAAAGAGGGCAGACAAGAGTGTTCCAAGCAGAGGGAACAGTAAGTGAAAGGAGAGAGCAAGGTGCAAACGAGAAGCAAGGGAGGGTAAGTGTGTCCTGAGCAGAGATAAGGAGGTAGGGCACAGTGAAGGGGGTAGTGGGAGTGGATAAGGCTCTAGTATGGGGGGCCTCAGACAACACAGAAGAAAGTTTGTCTTTGGCCTACAGGAAACCAGAGGCCAATGGAGGTTTTAAGTTATCTTCAAAGACTCGAAGGGCTGTCCTGAGGAAGATGGTTTAGATTTACTACAATCAAATAATGTCTTGGCCCCCCGTAAGAAAGCGAGCTCATCCATCACCAGAGTGGGGCAGTGGTTGGCTATTTGAATGTCAGGGAGAGGTCCTCCTTTGGCCAGGAGCCTGGGCAGCATCAATGACTTCAACCTTCTCACTATCAAGCGTCCTTTTTACCCATCTTGCTGCCCCCACAAACTCCAGATTTTTTAGAGTCTACCTCCCAGGATACATTAACATAATTTCCCCCCATTTTTCTTAATAAACAACCAATGTCATCCAGAAGGACAAGAAACGCAATGCATGATATAGTTCTGGCCACAAGCAAAGAAATTCAATGTTTCCTTTGGGAAAACTTATCATGAAATATGTATAATTCCCTATAGGCTTTCTGAAATATTGACAATAGCTCCCCACTCCCCAGTACACTTACAGACTCTAGGAGATCTTCTGGCTCCAGGCTAGGAACCTACTATTCTATGGTCATACCCAAGGTCTCTTCCAACCAGGGTACTCTGAACCACAAGGTATAGCTTCCTTGTATTCAGGCATTTGGGGGAAGGAGCAATAAATGTGAATTAAAACAATCAGGGAAGGCTTGCAGAAACAAAGAAAGCCTTGAGATGGGCCCTGAAGGATGGGCAAGCTTTGGATAGGTGAGGAAAGTGTGTTGTCAGGCAGGAGCAGCAGAATGTTCTCTAAGAGTGGTGAAGCGACCAGCCAGGCTGCAGCATGGAGTCAGGAAGTATTTGTGGATACAAGAATAGAAAAAGTCGGTCGCAACTGACTTTAAATGCCAAGCTGAATTACCCTCCAAATGACGGGGAGTCATCAAAGATTTTAGAACAGGAAAATGATGTGTTGGAAGCAGTGTTCTTGGCAGATGAATCTGGTGCCCATACATGCTTCGAGGTGGGAGGGGAACTTCGAGGGGACCCGATCAACAGACCAGATGTGAGAGGAAGAGCCTGAACTGGGTAGGATGGCAGTGAGGAAATAAAGGAGCAAATCCAAGAGACATGGCTTTTTTTAAAGCCCAGGACTTGAATCTGAGTTTAGAAGCAGCAGAGACTGCGAGGCATCTTGGAACCTGCTGGTAGAAAAATGAGACAGTCACCAGGGGAAGCTCATGGGTCTGGGGGAGATGATGAGTGCATGGGGCATCTTAGGGAGTTTTTACTCCATCCTTCATAGCAGCTACCCCTGCAAGTGGGGTTGGAGGGGCAGGCAAGGTGGCTTTCACATCTTATGATATATAATCTCCTTTAATGGAGGGATTTTGTATAATTTTTACTTCCTTTTTTTGTGTGTGTGTGTGCTTTTTGAGATTTCTCAAATAATTATTTTAACTTCCAGAGTCTCGTTAACCCTTCGTAAAACATCACTCGTGATGGAATGATTCACAGGGTCTGCTGGGGTCTCTGAAAAACACATCAGAGGGGTTTCGTCTCTACTCCTGAGTCTGTGGGTTTCCCTATGGGTGAGTGGTGAGGACTCTTCCACGTACCTCTTTCTGCGTCTCCCTCCTTCTCTCCTCACTGCCCCCTGCCCCAGCAGAGCCTACCTCTGTCCTTTAAAGGCTCAAAGATCATCAGACAGCCGTCTTTCCCGCCAGATAGCAATGCCAGGCTTGGAAAGACTGACCTTGGCATTTTTACAGCTGAAATCAGCCCAGCCTGGCCCAGCCCATGGACAAAACTACAGGCAACAGGACCGAACCTAGAAGGCACGAGTTCTGCACGCACATCAGACAGCTGTGTCCAGATCCCAGCTCTGCCACCGGTTACCTACCCCATCAGTACGTCAATCTTCTCATCTTGAAAATTGGAGATAATGATAGTATTTATTTCCTAGAGGCATTAAGTGGATCAAACCACGATGAAAGGCATTTAGTAAGCGTGCTGTATCATTAGTATTAATATGAACAATAAAATAATAAAACTTTATGACCAAACTCTGTTGCCTGGAGGCAAAGATAACCTTAATACCCTTCCATCTCGGTTCCCACTGGTGGCATTTATTTGCCTCTCTCCATCTCCATGCCAACTGGAATTTTCTTTTCCCAAACCAACCAAGAGCAGAGAGAAAACCTAAATCAGGGCCCGAGTCGCTGCTTGCTCATTTCATGGTGGTCTGCTCTGCCCCTTAAAGATGTGTGTGACATTCGACAAATTCCTTAATCTCATGAGCCCCAATCCCCTCCTGTATAAAACAGGTGTGGCGATACGGACCTCACAGTGTGGGCCAAGAGGCTAGACCATTCCCGGCACACAGCAGGCTTTCAGTTCAAGATAGTTCTCCATCCGGGTTCCAGGTAGGGGTCAGTTCTTTCCTGCCGGCCCATCCCAGACCCTCCTTGCTATGAGTCCCTGATGGTTTGGAGGGAATCTTCTCAATTACACCATAAGCTCCTGAGGGCACATGCAGGGCCCAGGTCTTCCTCCTGTCTTCCTCCCAGGCCTTGGTCCAGGCCAGCCTCCTGGGGGCAGCCAGGGAAGAGGGAGAAGACTGTCAGCCTTCTAGAGGTCCAGAACCAGACACACAAACTCAACAGCCTCCCTTTTCGTCCCCTTTTCTCTCCACTTTCCAAACCACAGCCCTGAGGTTGCTTGAAAAGAACTGGTTCTATTTGACAAGGGCCTAGAAGGAAAGTTGCCCCATGCACCCTCAGGGTATATTTGGCCTGGTTAAAGAAGGTATAATGTGTCAGATCCAATCACCCAGCCCCTATGCTCCATTCCCATCCCTCTCTGATGCAAAGGCCTCTGGACAAAGGCAAAGGTCTCCCTTCACCACCCCCTGCCACCAAAGTCCATCCATCATCCAGTAGTGATCCAATGGTCAACTCTCCATTCATCTATTAGCCTCTTCATCTGCCCCAGGAACAGAGCACCTGGAGTTCAGCTCTAACAGAATCTCAGTTCTGGGCTGGGTCCAACACCAAGGCAGCCCCCTTGCTCCTACCCCCAGGTAATGGCTCTAAACAGGTACCTCTCAGCCTTCTCTGTCGTTCCCCCACCCCTACCCTCCGGCTCCCCCAATCAAAGGAAGCAGTGTAAGAGGAGGACACACATCTCAGCCAACCAGGAAAGGGAGAGAAAGAGAAGCTGCAGAGCATCTCTCTGGGCTGGAGAAAGGACGGAAAAAGAAAAGAGCCCTGCCCAGGGAGGGAGACTAGAGGGACACTTGGGACCCCAGACCCAGAGGCCCAGACCCAGAGAGACCAGCCTGGGCAGTGGGAGCTCTGAGAGGCTACAAAGCCTTTCGGTTGCTAGGGTCCTGAAGGGCCTCACCCTCTGACAGGGTCATGGAGTCGTAATGGCTCACGTTCACATCTTGGGACCCACACAGAGGAACTAAGCTCTTTTCCAGAGGAGTAGACAGATCTCTCCTGAGTCACAGCTTTCTGTCTCTTTGTCTGACTATCTTTCTCAGGATTCAGGGCTTTTGTCTCTGCCTCCCTGTCTCTGCATCGTGTTGTCTTATCTTGTCTCTTCTCTTTCTCCCTCTGCCCCCATCTCTGTCTCAAATCATTTCTTAGGGGACTCTGCCTTGGGGCTCCCGCTCTCCACTGTGTAGGAAACCTGACCTTCATCATCTGTTTTTTATATTTTGCAAAGTCAGCTTCACTTCCTACCTGAGGGAAGTGGGGGTGGGAGAGCAGGCTGCCTGACTCCACCCCTTTCCCTCCCCCCTCCTCTTCTGAATCCATCCCCTCCCCCAGCTTCTTGCCCCAGGAAGGCCTATCCTGCTCTCAGTCACTTTGGCATCAGGCCCTGATTCGTGGTCTTCTCTCCACAGCTCACTGTGGGGTGGGGGAGGCAAAGGAGGCCTCTTCTGATCAACTGACCACTGGTTTGCTGATTTGGAAAAAAGTGAAAATTCCAGGCACAGTGAAAGCCCAGGAGGCTGAGGGATTTCACCAGTGGAAACCAGGATGGAAGTAAAGTCATTTCTGCCTCTGGGCAGAGTTACAGCCAACCAAGCAATGTGGTCACAGATGTTTATTTGTTTGACCGTGAATACTAGCAATAAATCACACATACTGAGGGCTTGCCCTGTGCCAGGCACTTTACATGTCTTTGCATATCATCACTCAACAACTTCACGTGGTAGTGACTATTTTCTCCCATTTTCTTCGTGAGAAAACTCGACACAGAGAGGTTACCTACCTTGCCCAAGGTAACTCAGCTAATGAGATTTGAACCCCGATTTCTCTGACTCCAAGTCCCAAGCTCTCAACTCTACATCAAAGTTTCCAAGACCAGAGAAATGTATTTTGTACATTTCCTTTTAAAGGAAATAAATCCACAGAACTCTGAGAATATACCTTCAAGATCCCAGGGACCCAGGCACCCGAGAAGATTATGTGTAACTCGCTACTTTCCGGAAGACCTAGAAGAACCAGCTAGCAAAGACTACACGGAGAGGCTAGAAGAGAGCATTTCAGGAAGGAGGAGCTGGGAGGGCAACCTGGGAAAACACAGATGATGGCTGCAAGTCAGGACACAGGGCAGGCACGGGGCTGGGGAAGTCTGGCTCCATGCAGGGGCCAACAGGGCTGGGGGCAGGGCTGGGGCAGCTCATGGAGGCCCAACGGCCCAGTTCAGTTTACCCTCCAAGTTTTCAAGCAGGAGCATAATACTCCAAAAGAGGTGTTAAAGGGAGGTTAAAGGGAGCTGGGCTGGAGGTTAAAGGGAGACGACTAAGAGAGCTGCTGAGAGGCAGCCCAGGACCACCTGACACAACATACAGACAAGAGGTGTCTAAGACATTTCCAGAGAAATCTAGCATTTTGGAGTCTGAACCCTCTGCCTCCTTCCCAAGGAGAGCTATCCAAGTTAGCCTTTGGGGTGGGTAGGGGTGTGGCAGGCAGGGGGAGAAACAGGAAGATGCGGTATGGCTGCAGCACTGAGCCTTCACACTAGCAGAGACTCTGGTCTGCGGGCGGCTGTGGCCCTGAGTGACAGCTGGAGGAAGACTCTCTTGTGAAGATGGCATTCAGTGCTCAAAGCTGGACACTGGCCTGAGCAGGAGGCTGGCCCTGCCGGGTCGCCAGGACAGGGCCAGTGGGCAGACTACGGATCCCGAGCTTGAAGCAGTAGTCTGTCTTTTTCCATTCTTTTGAAATGATGATTCTTCTCCCTGGGTGGCAAAAAAAAAAAAAAAAGCAAACAAGCAGAATTTGGTTAAGAACTCAAGAACTGCCAATTCAGAAACTCTAATCTCCAAAAGCGCAATCCCTTTTTTTCAGAGGCCAGAAACCTATTTCCATCAAAGATTGTGTGTGTCTGTGTGTCTGAGACTGGCGGGGGAGACAGAGTGGGTGTAAGGAGAGCGCTGAAATGTCTTCGTTCTTGTGTGGGAAGCTACCGCTCCGTGGGCTTCCACGTGTGCCTTGTATGTACATTTGTGCCTGTTCCTCAGGCCCCTGTGTGCACTGAACTTTCAGACCATAATAGAAACACCGAGCCTTGGCAAAGATATCATAGGAATAATTATCTAATTTCAGAACATGTTATTATAATACCTACTTGATGTGTAACAAACTTAACAATGTTCGCCTTATATTCACCAGCTCTAAGTTGGAGACTCGCAGTGCCAAGTCCTACCTCAGGGGCTTCTCCGAGACCCTAGAGCAGAGCAGGCCCCAAAGAAAGCTCTTTAAGGAATATCCACCCCACCCCCACCCCCCATCCCCCACTCCATGGCTTCCTCCTGGATGCAGAGGTTTGGCTGGGGAGATTCGAGGAGATTGCTGGAAGAGGGGCAGAGCCTAACTTGGTTGGCATCTCTGTTCCTCCCAGAATCCCCAGTCCTCACCAGGAGAGGAGCCCCTGGAACTGGAAAGAGAGCAGCCATATTGGGGTCACGGAGGCAGATAGGCTTTCCCTGACTCAGCAGTGGGCCAGGGGGCCTCAGGATCTGCAAGCCTCCCTTCTTCCCCAGGGGCTGGGTTGGACTGAGGCTGTGTGAGGAGAATGTTTGCTGTTTGCTGCTGTTGACTTTAGCCAGTAGCTCTGTTTACAAACCCAGGTTGGTTTTCCCAGCACAGTTAATTAGAACAAAGACATCTGGTGTGAGGGCTGGGGAGGGCATCTGCTCAGAACATTGCCCCCACACCCAGCAGCGGTGGGCCAGCACCGGTCAGAGCAGCTAAACAGGGCCAGACTGAACCCACCAAACTCAAGGTTCTCAGAAGAACCGTGGCTTTTCTCACTCTGCCTTTCCCATGCCTGCTAAGTTGGACTGGGCCCCAACGCTCCAGCCTTAGGGCACCCCGAGAGTCAGGGATGGATGCCCCTACCTCAGTGGAATCCCAGGCTGGAAATCCAAGACTCAGTCCTCCCCTCTGCCCTTCCATGTCCAAAAGAACTGGGAGAGAGATTCCCGTCCGCTCTCTCATCACAGTGACTCTGCATTCTGTAGGAATGCCAGACCTCTTCAGCCCCCTGGAGGAAAATCTCCCCTCCCTGACACCCCCTCAGAGAGGTGTCCTTCCGACACCCCCCTGACTCCTCTCCAGCCAATCTCTGACACTGCGGGGAGGAAAGAGATTAACCAGTCCAGAACCAGAGGGAGGCAGGAAGGTGCCCAGGAAGGTGAGAGGTTCTGGGTGGACAGTTCCAGGGCTGTGGGGAAGTGGAGGGCTGGGATGGGGAGGGGCAGCAGCTTATCTCTCCCAGGAGGGGGGAAGCTCACTCCAAACAGCTAATGCACTGGCGTGTGAAAGCCCCTCAATTAGCACTAATGATGCAATCAGGGAGGGAGGAGGAGGGACCAGAAGTTCTGGCGGAGTCAGCACCAGCTTACACACAGGGTACACACTCCCTTCCTCCGACACAGTGGCCCCTTCAGACACACCAGTGCACACACTCCACAGACAGCCTGGACCACGCACGTCCGTGGGTACAAATGCACCCTTTGCACAAACTACTAGCATGCATATGGTTCGCGATCCGCTGCTGACTGCGGGGATCCCGGGGAGAGGAGTTCGATCTGGGGCTTCAGGGTCAAGGAAAATGAGAAGCCAGAAAGACTTGGTGGCGGAGGTTGAAGAGGGCATCTTCGATTATTCCTCTGATCCCAGAATTCCCGACCCACGCAGGCTCGCAGGTGCCAGCCTCTCTACGGCCACCTCCCCACACCACCCCCACCCCTTCGCCCCGGGATCCGGGACTGGGCGAGGAGCCTCTATCCCCAGCCCCCACCCCGGAGGGAGGCCCTGGGTTCCGGGAGAGAGCTCTGAGAGCACACGGACCCCCAGCACCCCAGAGCCAGCTGCTCGTCCCCTCCGGAGCCCGTTACCCGCCGACCTCACCCCTCTATCTTCTCCCCCACCCCGGCCGGCCGGCTCCGTTATCCGCCTCCCGGTCCCGTTATCCGGCAGCCCCGGCCCCGTTATCCGCCCTCGCGCCGGGCCCGGAGCTCCCGCGCGTCGCGGGGTCGCCGCCGCCCCTTCCCCCTTTCGCGGCCCGAGCTCGGGGGCCCGCGGGCTGGGCAGGGCCGGAGCCGCCTCCGCGCCGCTTCCCAGGCCCGGACGGCCGCGGGAGGAGGTCCCGCTGTCAGTCAGCGGGGAAGGCCGGGCCGGGCGGCCGGAGGGGGCGGCGCCGAGGACGGGCTCGGGCCGGGAGCTGGGAGGCGGAGGCGGAGGGGGCGGGGGCGGGGGCGGCTCCGGGCCTTATAAGCGGCGGGGGCAGGGCGGGAGGGAGGCAAGTGTCAGGCCGATGTGCGGCCCGCGAGGGGCCGGGGTCGGGGCCGCCGGGGCCATGCGCTCGGACTGGGCAGGGGGCCGGAGGGGCGCAGAGCGGAGCCGCCTCGGAGCCTGAGCCTCCGGGGCGAGGGAGCCGCGCGGGGCCGGCCGGCTGGGGGGAGGGGAGCGATGCGGCGCCGGCGGGCGGCGGTAGCCGCGGGTTTCTGCGCCTCCTTCCTGCTGGGCTCCGTCCTCAACGTGCTCTTCGCACCGGGGTCGGAGCCTCCGCGGCCAGGCCAGTCCCCCGGGCCCTCGCCAGCCCCGGGCCCGGGCCGTCGCGGCGGCCGCGGGGAACTGGCCCGGCAGATCCGAGCGCGCTACGAGGAGGTGCAGCGCTATTCCCGCGGGGGCCCCGGGCCCGGGGCCGGCCGGCCGGAGCGGCGGCGCCTGATGGACCTGGCTCCGGGCGGGCCGGGCCTGCAGCGTCCCCGGCCCCCGCGGGCCCCCCTGCCCGACGGCGCCCCGAGCTGGCCCCCGGCTCCCGGCCCGGGCTCCCCCGGCTCGGGCCCGCGCCTGGGCTGCGCCGCGCTCCGCAACGTGTCCGGCGCACAGTACGTGGGCTCGGGCTACACCAAGGCCGTGTACCGGGTCCGCCTGCCGGGCGGCGCCGCGGTGGCGCTCAAGGCGGTGGACTTCAGCGGCCACGATCTGGGCAGCTGCGTGCGCGAGTTCGGGGCTCGGAGGGGCTGCTACCGGCTGGCGGCCCACAAGCTGCTCAAGGAGATGGTGCTGCTGGAGCGGCTGCGGCACCCCAACGTGTTGCAGGTACGACGGTGGGGGTGAGAGGGTGAGGGTGCTGGCTGGACGTGCCCAGGTCCGGTCACTCTGACTGGAAGAGAACCCTCGGCCATAGAGATAAAGACTGTGCCCAGGTTAAGTAGGGGCAGAACCCCGACCGCGGCCGCTGCCCACTACACTACCCTGCCCCTCACTCCTGAGTGGGCGTCTCTTTACGGAGGGACTCCTGCGTCTCTCAGCTTCCACCCCATATCCTTTGAAGACAGAGACCAGGACCGAGGGTCCCAAAACTCGAGGTAGGAGTGCGAGTCTGTTAGGACTTAGGACCCTGCTTCTGGCTGGAGCTAGGGTGTTGAGCACCAGGGAAATAACCCCAAGCCAAGACACAGAGGTCATCCCTGAGTCAGGATTCCAACTGCAGTGATAGGGCCCCTTTTCTTGATGGAATCTGAACCCCACTTCTCTCAACGTCCAGTGGCTTGTCAGGCTTTGAAGATGGGATGGGACAACAACGGGGTTGGGAAGGGCTAGAAAGAGACCCTGTATTGGGCTTGATTCCCAGAGAATATCCCCACCCCCTACCCCACCCAGAAGCCACTGGAAGGACTGGAGGGAATTGGGTAGTAGGCCAGAAAATGCACAGCCCTTCCCAGAAGTGACCCCGCCATTCTCCAGGCCTTAAAGACAGCCCTTGGATTATGAAGGAAGCCTTAGGATCTTAGCTCAGTGCTCAGGGGACAGGCTACGGGCCTGAGGGTCTCAGGGTCACATTATCAGAGCAGATGTGGCCAGTGGCTGGAAGACTGAAAAGGCCAGATGCCCAGGTTCCTACTAAATGGGACTCTGTCTCTCCTGTTCACTGAGGAGCAGAGGGGAGAGATGAGACCCCACCTTGTCCCCTCCGGGCTAGACTAAGAGAGTGGGCCACTCACAGCCCCAGCACTGCCCTAACACACCCACTTCCTCCTCTCCCCCAGCTCTCTGTCCTTGAGTCGACCCTAGGATTAGACAAACTCTTCCCTTGCACATGTCTGAGCAGCCTGAGAGGGGAATCCCTGACTGGTCTTGGCCCGCTGAACAGAGGGTGTGTGCAGACTCCCCAGCAGAGGAACCTCGCCCACACCTTGCACCTCCGAGCCCCCTCAAATTAACCTTTCTGCACCCAGCAGAACTGAAGAGAAATCTAGGAGTCCCTCCGTCCTCTTGTAAGGACTGAGATAGACCCCAGGCCTGGGTGGATACTGTGGAACAAGAGAGAGGCGAGAGAGCTATTTATATTCCTGCTGGCTCCAGGTCTCCCCAGGCTCCCCCGACTCTGGTCAGACACTTGTGACCAGGTCCTACGCCCTGAACTGGTGGCAGGAGGTCGGGCAGAGCCAACGGTTGTGACCAGCCATGCCTGGATGCCCAGCTGACACTGGGCCTGGAGCTTCAGGGAGTGAGCGACTGGTTACGTGGCCATTCTAACTGGGAGGATCTTGTTCTCTTCGCTTCCAGGGGCTCTTGGGAACTTTTTGGCAACCCTGGGGTGTCAGCCAGATTCTGAGGCAGTGGAGAAGCAGGACATTAAGTGTTAGTTAATTGATTCAAGAGGCCCCCCCACACACACCTCCCTTAGGACAGGTTTGAGGTTTTGATGTGCTCTCCTGTCTCTTAAGGAATTTCTCCCTCCCTCACTCACCCTACCCAAGCTTCCTGACCAGCATCTAGCTAACTGCCCCCACGCATCTCACAGAATGGTCCTCCGCTTTAATGTCAGGCCTCTGCCCGATTCTGAAAGCACCCCCCAAAATACATCTATATTACATAGGTAATACATATATATTACAGCTGAATAGTTTTCACCCAAGACTGGGTCTGTCTGAGGTCGGCTGTGTGACTTTTACAGGGTCAGAGACTGGGGGTAGTTGCCCTAGGGCACCAAGTGTTAGAAGGTGGAGAGGGTCCCTTTCCATCTGGGGAAAGGTAAAAAGCTACCATGAGCGAGGAAGAAAGGGTCCCTGAGTTTGAGTTTAGGAACTGTTTTGGGGTGACCGCCAGCCAGAGTCCCTCTGGCCTCTTCCTCAGGGCCACCTCTGCTGCCACGGAAGCCCGCTGTGGGGTACAGGGGGGTGCTCAGGAGGCTGCAGTGAGGGTGTGCAATGTTTCAATACCTCTTACTCATTTAAAATTTCAAAACCATTTGACTGCTGAACCAGGGAGGAGCCAAAGAATGTTTCTTAGAGTTCCGGCTCCCCCAGGCCACCCGGAGGCCCCATCCCCATCTCTGGTAGCCCCCAAGTTGGTTCTGTGGATTCTACTAGAAAAGCCCCAGGTAGCATGTCCCACCATGCACCTCCCAGCACTTTCTCTGGTCTCTGGGGACCTGCCTGGGCGAGATCTCTCTATCTTTCTTCTGTCACCCCCTACACACACACACACACACACACACACACACACACACACACTTATCACGTGATAGATGCCTCTATAGCCCAGGGTCAAAGGGCAAAAGGGTCTTCCCTCCCCCCAACCTCCACAGTTCCAGGATCTCAGGCCTCAGATGGGGCCCCAGCCTGCTTGGGCCCAGATTCTGGCCCTGCTAGAGTATATTTCTTCTCCCAAACGAACAAAAGATGCGACTGAAATGCTCAGCCTCACGCTTCCTGGAGGGGTTAATGGTGTCTTTTTATTTTTTCCTGAGGGGTGTTGATTAATACCTCGTTAACAGCGCATTTAACGACCTCCGGGTGTTTAATAACCTTCAGAAGTTTCCCACAAAGGCTCAGACTCTGGGCAAGAAAATGAGAACCAGGCCCCAGGGCTGCTCCCCTTACCTTCCCCCCCACCCCCCACCCCCGCCCCACCGGGGCCTGGGGCCTCCCTGGGCTAATGCGAGGTGGGGGAGCAGAGAGAGAGAGAGGGAAGAAGAGGGTGCCTGGGACTGTCCCCTGATCCCTGGTTTGCAGCCCTGCTGATCTAATGGCGGCCCTGAGCCGTGCCTTCTCTCATGCTGGCAGGCTTGGGGCAGCTGGCTCCAGGAAGGGAGAGCTGAAAGGGCACTCCTGGGACGGAAGAGGGCACGTGAGGCTGGAGTGGATCTGGGAGGGGTGTGAATGATGGTAAGAAGGGTGACAGTATGCAGGGACATCTAACCTGTGGGCTTGGCTCCCCCCTGCTCTGCAACCCCACCCTCCCACCAGCCCCCACATTGTGCAGCTCTCCCCTCTCCCTATTGTGGTCTGGACAACTCAGCCTTTGTGTTTCTAACCCCACAGGGTGCTGGTTGTTTTGAGCCTCATCTGATCCCTGGCTGATGGGCAGTGTGGTGGGGGAGGCTGGAGGAAGCAGGGCTCTCTCTCTGGATGCTGGTTTAGGTGTTAATGACAAAGTCAGGCTGTGCTTCCCAGAAGTCCCTGACTAGATGAGCTGTGCCGAGCCCATCCTCAGGTCCTGTGGAGTGGGCAGGCCCTTGTGAGCATGCCCCCAAAGAACTGATCTTCCGCAGAAACCATCCCTTACTACTAATCCCATTGGTGGGTGTGACCACCCCCACCACCAACATATGCAAAGAACACTCAAGGCTGTGCCCCTTGGATGCTTTGTTCTTATAAATGCTTGTTACCAGTCCGAGGGAGCTTGTTTTTCCGCCCACAAGACCAGAGCTGAGAAAAAATGAAGTTGCCAGAAAGTAGAAATGATAAGGAATAGAAGCCCGGGACACCTGAGTGGCTCAGTCGGTTAATCGTTTGCCTTCGGTTCAGATCCTGATCCCAGGGTCCTGGGATCGAGCCCTGCATCAGGGTCCTTGCTCATTGGGGAGCCTGCTTCTCCCTCTGCCTGCCGCTCCCCCTGCTTGTGCTCGCTCTCTCTCTCTCTCTGTCTCTCTGACAAATAAATAAATAAAATCTTTAAAAAAAAAAAAAAAAGGAATAGAGGACTGGAGCAGGAGAGGAGGTAGAATACCCATTTGCTGGCTTGTTGATTAACAAATGGTATTCGTAGAAAGAACCAGGCTGTGGAATCCAAGTGACATAAATATGAATGCTAGCTCCTGCATTAGCTGTGTAACGTTACACAAGTAACTTAACTTCTCTGAGTTAGTTTCCTCACCTGTAAATTGGAGATTATAAGAATCAAGTTATGCATGTAGAACACTTAGCACAGTGCCTGGCACATGGCTGACACGTGGTGTCCAGACCTGCCCATTTACCTGAGCAGCAGGAGGTAGGAGGCTGAAGTCGCCAGCAGGAGCTCTGGCTGCAGGGACAGAGGGCAGGCTTCCCTGGGCCATGCTGCTGTTCTCTTCTGGCCTGAGCTGAAGCAACAGCCTAGGGATCAGGGTGGGAGGTGCGTAGTGCAGAGGGAGGGGGGCCTCTGACAGCCCAGCCCTTCTCTGTCCCCACTCCGACCCTGTGACCTAATGACCTGCCCTGGGCCTCCCCCAGCTCTATGGCTACTGCTACCAGGACAGCGAGGACATCCCGGACACCCTGACCACCATCACAGAGCTGGGTGCCCCTGTGGAGATGATCCAGCTCCTGCAGACTTCCTGGGAGGACCGCTTCCGAGTGAGCAGGGCAGAGGGCTGGGCTCTGGGCTCCTTGCTGGGATGGTTTTCCCTTAGAAGGCCAGCCCTCCAGAGCAGCTTGGACTCCTTCTCAGTCAGAAAAAGGAGGGAAAGATGGAGCAAAACTGACTCAGCTGTCAGCCAAGGGGTTAAAAAAAGAAGCAAGACATAGAAGATCCTGACGTTTTTGTGCTCCTTACACACACACACACACACACACACACATGCATGCACGCCCGTGTAGCCTGGCTGCCAGAGGGCCAGTGTCCTAGGACTAGAAAAGACCTTAAAGTCATCTTGACCCTCCATTTCCATGCACTGGACTAAAACCACACTCAAGATGCAACTTCAAGGAGGAGAGCCGGTATCTGCAGACTTCCATGCGGCCTGTTTCCCACCGACTCCATGTTACTTTCAGGGTCAGGTCAGCCCAGGGTTACTAGAAAATCACTGGCTTGCTCTGTAAGGCCCCTGGCCCTCAGCCCTTAGTAAGCACTGGAGCCTTTAAGAGAAAAGCCAACCCCCCCCCCGCCCCAAAGGGGTGAGCCCTGGAGTCTCCCAGGCCCCCTCCCAGGAGAGAAGCCTATGAGCAGCCTTGTGTCTGCCCCTCAGATCTGCCTGAGCCTGGGCCGGCTCCTTCACCACCTGGCCCACTCCCCACTGGGCTCGGTCACTCTGCTGGACTTCCGCCCCCGACAGTTCGTGCTGGTGGATGGAGAGCTAAAGGTGACAGATCTGGACGACGCACGCGTGGAGGAGACGCCATGTGCAAGCAGTGCTGACTGCATCCTGGAGTTTCCGGCCAGGAACTTCAGCCTGCCCTGCTCGGCCCAGGGCTGGTGTGAGGGCATGAATGAGAAGCGCAACCTCTACAATGCCTACAGGTGACCTCCAACCCCCCACCCCCCCAGGAAGGCCGAGGAGGAAGAGTGAGCCAGGGAGGGCATGGCAAGGGGAGAGCCCACATGGGGTCCAGGAGGCCAGCCAGGGTGGGGAGACTCCGCCTTGATCAATGGAGGAGCAGGGGTGGGGAAGGTCTTCTACCCACTCAAGAAGGGAACATTCAGGCTCCCGGCGATGAGGCTAAAAATAGTCATCTCCAAGGAGAATCTGGGGTGGGGGGTGGCAGCTGGAGGCTTCTTAAAATAGTGTCCGATTCAGAGCCTAGGGCTGGTGGGACTGGCACTACCCCTTCGTCCCCTGGTCCTTCAGTCTTGGAAGCTCCTCACTGGGCCTCAGCTATGGGGCTGCTGTCACAGTGATCAGCTCAGGGGATAAGGTAGCACTGGGTGGTGGGGGAGTCCTGGGGACGGATGGGGAAAAGAGACCTCAGATTGCAGCGTGGTATAAAGTTAAGGTGTGGCCTTAGCATGTGTCCTGATCCCTACCCTGAGTCCTGAGTGGACTCCTTCATTCGCTCTGGGGTTATGCCTGGGTAGTAGGCCTGAGGGATCAGGCTCCCTGGCCAGATTAAGGTTCTGTCCCAAGTTGGGGCAGAGGAAGGATGTGTCCCCAAGGCCAGACCACTGAGCCCCTGGTTTCTCTCTGCCCCAGGTTTTTCTTCACATACCTCCTGCCCCACAGTGCCCCACCCGCACTGCGGCCTCTGCTGGACAGCATTGTCAACGCCACGGGTGAGCTCTCCAGGCGCCGTCTGCTTCCCATCACCGTCCCCCAGCAGGCATGGTGTCGAAAATGCCCCAGGACAGCACAGTATTGCGTTTCCCAAAGTGGCATTCCATGGCAAACCCCCTTCCCAGTCCACTGGTCACCCGGGCCCAGGTTCCAGGGGAAGAGAGGGAAAGGCAGCAGGTTGCAGACCGCGGGAAGGGGTAGGAGCGCGGGCACCCTCTCCTAGCCACACTGCACTCCGCAGGAGAGCTCAGCTGGGGAGTAGACGAGACTCTGGCCCGGCTGGAGAGAGTGCTGCACCTGTTCCGGAGCGGGCAGTATCTGCAGAACAGCTCAGCAGGCAGCAGAGCCGGTGAGTGGCTCCCGCAGGGCTCCAGGGGCTCCAGGGGCTCGGGAGCAGGGGGGAGGGTGAGTGGTCCCCTTAATCGCGCTAAGCGGCTCATCCTCCTAAGGCACACTTGAAGAGACCACTGACTGTTTAGCCTCTACTTGGAGGTCTTCTCTCTGGCTGAGCCAGAACGACTATAATTCTGCCTTGACCTCGGGGCAGGGGGCGGGGGGGGGGGCAGGCATCGACACCCCTTCTCTGGGTAGCTCCAGACCCCACTCTGTATTGACTGTGTGACTTTGAGCAGCTTCCCTACACCTTGAGCCTCATTTTTCTCTCCTGTGAACTGGGTTTAATATTTCCTGCCTCACAAAATGCTTATGGGGATTCAATGCTAGGCGAAGTGTGTGCAAGCAATTAACTTGCTTCCTGTTACACAGTTGTATTACAGAATATATGTTGGCTCCTCTTTCCTTCCTCTGCCCTTCTGGGGCTAGGAGGGAGGCTGGAGGAGGCTGCGATTCCACACCGAAACCAGCCAAGAAGCCCAGGAGCACGGGGAGAATTGCAGCCCCCAGCCGTCGTCGTTCTGCTGAGGCCCTGGGGTTTATCATGGCTGGCAGGGGGGCCAGGAGTGGGCAGCCTCTGTATTCAAGGAGCTCTGGCCAGTCTTAGGGGTGGGGGAGCCCTCGTTAGCCCTGTAAATAAAGTTTAACGAGGTGAACAATGGCTGGCTCTGTCCCTGAGGACGCCGTTTATGGGGCCATAAATCACAGCCAGCCCTGGACTTTGGTCTAGTCCCTGGTAGAAGAAGGAGGCAGGAGGGCGGGGTGGCCAGAGGCCCAGGGCTTCTGCATTATCAGTCCCGAGCTGGGGCTCCCCAGGCAGCAGGAAGGACTCAGGTGAACGAGCAGCTTCCTGATTGAGGAGCTCGCAGAGCCTCTGGGGGCTCTTTCTGTATAATGGGAAGATTTTTCCTCCAGCTTCCTCCCCCAGACACCAGAGCTGTGGATTCCCCAATGGTCATTTTTGTGTTTCACATTCATTTGCATTCCTCATAACTTCAGAAATCCCCAACTGCTCCCTCCCTGAGGAGCTTGCCTCATCTCTCTCCCTAAGGCCCAAAGGAAGCAGGACCCAGGGGTGCTCTAAACTCTTGCTACTCAAAGTGTGGTCTGCAGACCAGCAGCACCAGAAGCTGGTTAGAAATGCCCACCCCCAAACCCCACCCCTGACCCCCTAAATCGGGATCTGCATTTTAGCAAGAGTCCCTGGAGATTCACAGGCACACTGAAGTTTGAGAAGCCCGGCTTTAAATGTCCAAAATGTCCCGACCTCAAGCTCTGCGTGTGCGTTTATCCCACGATGCACCCGCTGTCAGGTGCTGTCCGAACCCACTGTGCACCCTCAGATTTGGGAGCTGTGGGTCTCCCAAAAACCGAACCTGAGCTTTGCCTTTACTGGGTGCTCAGCCCAGTTCCACAGCAGTAGCTGCCTTCATCCCCATGCGAGGGTGACTGGGCTAGCTTTCAGCTTTCAGTTAGGAAATGAGTCTTAGCCCTTTCCAGGAAGCGGCCCCAGCCCTCCTGCCTGGAAACACAGAGCTCTCATTCGAGCTCCATCCCCAACCCCACAGAGTACCAGCGCCTCCCAGACAGCGCCATCCCCCAGGAAGACTACCGCTGCTGGCCCTCCTACCACCACGGGAGCTGCCTCCTCTCGGTGTTCAACCTGGCTGAGGCCGTGGACGTCTGCGAGAGCCATGCCCAGTGCCAGGCCTTTGTGGTCACCAACCAGACCACCTGGACAGGTAAGCCAGTGGGAAGGGAAAGGACGTCCTGAGGGAGGTGACTGGCATTCCCTGGAAGAGCCTGACAGGTAGTGGTCCCCCGTCAGAAGCCAGCTTTGATGAAAAGACAAGAAGGCCGAGATGAGGAGAGACAAGTCTACGCGTCCTCTAGGCAGTCCCATCGGGGAGAGTGGCCCCGCCTCCAGGGAGAGAGACAGTCCCGTTATCTCTCACCTCTGCCTCCAGGTCGGCAGCTGGTATTTTTCAAGACAGGATGGAGCCACGTGGTCCCTGATCCCAACAAGACGACATATGTGAGGGCCTTGGGCTGACCTCTCGGGGGGCTCAGCTGACAGCGGACCAGCCCGCCAGCTGGGCTCGCCGGTGGAGGGAGGGAGGGACGGACTTGCACTAGCAACACTGCATGTCACCTGGAAACCCCTGCAGACGAGGCTGACATCCCAGACGGTGAGGTGACCAGGACAACGTGCAATAATGCCAAATGTTAAAATGTGAGTTTACCGGTCTAGGTATGGGACTGCTGGCCCCGGGGCCAGGAATCACGGGAGCGGGGCAGGGGGGCGGACTGCCTTCCCAAGCCTCTGGGCAGCCAGCAAGGCTCAGGCTGGTATCCCCTGGGGGGGCTCTGGCCCTCGCTGGGACAGTTCTGTGGGCAGCCCCATCACTGTGTCCGTGGTGTAAGAATGTAGCCAGAGCCCCTGCTGCTGCATGTCACCATCTGGTGGGGGCTGCGTGGGGACAATCAGTCACGGAGTGTTCTCTCAGCTCAGCTCCGGACAGAAGACTTGACGGGAATGCTCTGGGATGTGGGGGATTCTGTACCCGGGGAGGCCACCTCTGGCCACCCAACCGGGGGCACCCACAGGCCAGCGCAGAGGCAGGGACAGAGGAGCCCACAAGGTATGAGCCAAGACATGGGGTCAAGGAGCAGGTTGCAGTTTGAGCCAGGACCTGGGGTGGGGGTGGGGCCGGGGCCTTTCTGCCTCATTTGCTTTCAGTGAAAGCCGCAAAGCAGCCAAAACCAGCCTCTCCCCCCTCCTGGAGTTTGTATATCCAGAAGCTTTTGTACTTCTTGTTCATTAGAATGTTTATTTTTGTAAAAAAAAAAAAAAAAAGGTCAATCAATTAATAAATGACGTTTCACGGCAAGGACTCTTCCCAAAGCCACAGTTTCTTGGGCTGACTTGTCCTCATTTAATGTCTTTGGTGTTTGTTTGGGGAAGTGGGGGCAGGAGAGGTCATGGGGGATGACCTTTGGAGGAGTGAAATCTCTGTGGCAAACACTGAAGTTGGCAAAATGTGTTTGCAGGCCCTGCTCCCACGGCGCCCACCTCCCTCCATGGCCCTCCACATCCGTGTCCGGACAAAAGACAGGAGGGACTTCCTCCCCTAGGGACGTTCACGCTTTCACACACACCAGTTCTTTATATACAGAGCTTTTACCTAAAGGACTGGTGTCCTAAGGGTGGGATGTCAGCCACAGTCAGGTTGCAGGGCTCTGAGCAACCTGTAGTCAGGTCAGCTTTGTCCCGTTCGGGGTTGGGCCTGGTCATCATCACCACGGCCCACCACAAGCTAATGGGCAATTTGTTTTCCTGAGCTTTTCTCTGAGCATAAAATATATGGAAAGAGGGGAGAAAGGAAGGTCTAGAGAAAGACCAGCTCCCTCTACCTGGGCTTTAGGAGGGAGGGTCTAGGGCGCCTGGGTGGCTCAGTCGGTTAAGCGACTGCCTTCGGCTCAGGTCATGATCCCAGGGTCCTGGGATCGAGTCCCGCATCGGGCTCCCTGCTCTGCATGGAGCCTGCTTCTCCCTCTCCCACTCCCCCTGCTTGTGTTCCCTCTCTCGCTGTGTCTCTCTCTGTCAAATAAATAAATAAAATCTTTAAAAAAAAAAGAAAAAGGAGGGAGGGTCTAGCAAGGGAAGGCCCAAGTGTGTGGAAACCCAGAGGGGAAAGTGAGGACCTAAGGGTTCACAATCAATCACACTGAGGCCAGAAGGAGCCCAACATATCTGATACACATCTTCTAACTTGAAAACCTGCATCTTCTCTCCTGTACACTCATTCTGCTTCTAGAATATTTTCAAAGCACACAAACCTTTAAGGGCTTTAAAAAGTATAACCAAACTTTAACTCAGAACCCGATTTCTCCTCAACAGACGTGGTTGTTGTAAGTTCTCATGCCCAAGATGTCCCTGTGGTTGTAAGGGATTGAGGAGGCAATCTTAGTTCTGGAATCCTAATCATGGATGCTGCTCAGACGCTCAAGGTTGCACCTCCCTACCACCATGCCTGGCCCACACGTGCCACATCTCGCCTTTGGCTTCCTGGATTTGGTGATTGTGGGAAGGTCAGAGCCACCTACAGCAACTCATACCATGGCTCAACCAAGTCAGATCCCAGCCGTGCTCACCCCCCTCAGGTCCCACCCTTCCACGGAGGACCTCTGCTTTCTTGAGATCTCCAGACCCCTTTCCTCAGCTGAATTCATGCACTACAACACGTGTAGCCTGCCCCATGCCGTCCAGTGTTAGATTTCCCCTGCCCTCTGTTATTCTCCAGCGCAGACCAGCACATGGGATTTGAGGACAGGAGGATCCACATCACTATGCTGAGACCAAGGAGGTGTCATGGGACTGGGGCAGCGAAGTCTGCAGGGTCTATGTAGCCCAGAGGGAAACAAAGACCCTGATTACACTCAGCAGACAGGCCCATAGGGCCCAGGAAGTGTGTGGCTCAGTGAGGAAAGAGAATGCTGAAGATGAACCCAGAACTGCCTTCTAGGCTCTAGAAGTTTCTAGAAGTGGCCCGAGGAGAGGGGCAGGCGCTGGCCTCAGCAAGGTACAATTATCATTCCAATTTTATGGACCTGAAAACTGAAGTCTAGATGACAGCTGCTAAGGGATTCAGTAAGCATTCAAATCCCACCATAACTTCCAGACCTGTCCCAGAGGGGAGAATCGCAGCAATCTAAGTGAGACGTAGGGAGCCCTTGCTTACTTGGAGTGGATGACAAACTAAAATGGAGGTCCAGGGGCACCTGGGTGGCTCAGTCAGTTAAGTGTCTGCCTTTGGCTCAGGTCATGATCCTAGTGTCCTAGGATTGAGCCCCACATTGGTCTCCCTGCTCAGCAGGGAGCCTGCTTCTCCCTCTCCCTCTGCACCGCCCCCCGCCCATGCTTTCTTGCTCTCAAATAAATAAATAAAATCTAGGGGCGCCTGGGTGGCTCAGATAGTTAAGCGTCTGCCTTTGGCTCAGGTCATGATCCCAGGGTCCTGGGATCGAGCCCCGCGTCTGGCACCTTGCTCGGTGGGGAGCCTGCTTCTCCCTCTCCCTCTGCCCCTCCCCCTGCTCATGCTCTCTCTCTCTCTCTGTATCTGTGTCTCGAATGAACAAATAAAACCTTTAATATATAAATAAATTAAATAAATAAATAAATAAAATAAATAAAATCTAAATAAAAAAATAAATTAAATGGAGGTCCAGAGCACCTTAAACTTTTTTAGAAAGACTCAGGTACAGGCGGCTGAGGCGATAGTAGATTGCTTCTTCCTCAGCGAGCGAGCCTTGCCTCAGAACCTAGATACCTGGGAGGAAAAATGGCCAGGTTCAGCCCTGCAGAATAAAGGGCATTCGCAGCTAGGAACAGAGGTGACAGAGTGCCCTGAAAGGAAAGGGACAGTGAGTAAAAAGCCTGAGGCAAAATCACCCCTCCCCCCAGATGGCAGTTCACCATGTAGCCACCTGTCTCCCTGGAAAACGTTCAGTTCCTGGGTACATCTTGTCCCCTTCCTGCGGAAGCCAGAACCACACCCGCTTTCCCCAAAGTCTATGTTCTTTCCGCTCCGCTGCCTAGTGGAGTGGAATGATACCAGGGGCCTCATGCATGGGAGAAATACATTCACCTAACTGAAGCCTTGGGTGACAGTCCCAGAGGAGGGAAGCCAGAGGTGGGTCCTTTCCAGCGCTGGGGAAGTAGGAAGCAACATGAGAGGGCTCACATTGCCACTGGTCCCCCAAGAGACTCTGGAGGAATTTTGGCCCATCCTGCGTTTTGCTCTTTGTGTCATCTGGGCTGTGACAACTCCCTGAGCCTCCGTCTCCTCGTCTGCAAATTTCAGATAAATAATATCTGCTTCACAGCAGTGTTACAGGGACCAAATGAAATTATGTAAGTAAGGGTCTTAGCCAGTGTCAGCAAACAGTACGTGTTTAGGAAATACTGGTTGATGTGTCGTTGCTATGAGTGAGCTGAGCCCTCAGGGTTCACCTGGGACCTGGCCTGGAAGACTACCCAGGTGGGCTGGGGAGAACCGAGGCACAGCCAGACTGTCCCCACGCCCCACCTCCAGCGCCCCCAACAGGGAGCACTGCCATCGCGGGGAGGAGGTGGAGCGGGGCTCTCCGGGTCAGTGCCCTGCGAGTTGAGTGTGTGGCAGACAGGAGGAAGAGGATTAACATGAAAGCAGAAAATGGGATTAGGAGGCCTCAGGATAATGTGCCCACCCGCCCGCCATCCATGACAACGGCTTCTTGCTTTCACTCTCTGGCTTCTGGAGCCCAAAGCATGTAAAGCTCGGTCACCCCCTACTCCCAGGGACAGAGCCAGCCAAAGGCTTGGTAGACTCGGAGCATGCGACTACTCAGTCGGCTAGGAAGAGGGCCGGGCTGCCTTTATGTGCCCTTACTTTCTCATTTAATCCCCACGGCGGCTCTGAAACGGTGGATGGCCCAGAAGGTGAAGAGCCAGGATGTTAGCCTCCGAAAGCCTGTGTTTCTTCACCTCTCCCCACTGTCTCACGTGGGAGCACAGCGTCCCCCGGCACCCAGATCAGTGATGTCTCAGACCTGCACGCCCCTTAGGAAGAATTCCCAGACCCCCACCTGCCTTTGATAGAAAACCCAAAAGGCAATTTAAGG